AAAAAAAAAAAAAAAAAAAAAAAAAAAAAAAAAAAAAAAAAAAAAAAAAAAAAAAAAAAAAAAAAAAAAAAAAAAAAAAAAAAAAAAAAAAAAAAAAAAAAAAAAAAAAAAAAAAAAAAAAAAAAAAAAAAAAAAAAAAAAAAAAAAAAAAAAAAAAAAAAAAAAAAAAAAAAAAAAAAAAAAAAAAAAAAAAAAAAAAAAAAAAAAAAAAAAAAAAAAAAAAAAAAAAAAAAAAAAAAAAAAAAAAAAAAAAAAAAAAAAAAAAAAAAAAAAAAAAAAAAAAAAAAAAAAAAAAAAAAAAAAAAAAAAAAAAAAAAAAAAAAAAAAAAAAAAAAAAAAAAAAAAAAAAAAAAAAAAAAAAAAAAAAAAAAAAAAAAAAAAAAAAAAAAAAAAAAAAAAAAAAAAAAAAAAAAAAAAAAAAAAAAAAAAAAAAAAAAAAAAAAAAAAAAAAAAAAAAAAAAAAAAAAAAAAAAAAAAAAAAAAAAAAAAAAAAAAAAAAAAAAAAAAAAAAAAAAAAAAAAAAAAAAAAAAAAAAAAAAAAAAAAAAAAAAAAAAAAAAAAAAAAAAAAAAAAAAAAAAAAAAAAAAAAAAAAAAAAAAAAAAAAAAAAAAAAAAAAAAAAAAAAAAAAAAAAAAAAAAAAAAAAAAAAAAAAAAAAAAAAAAAAAAAAAAAAAAAAAAAAAAAAAAAAAAAAAAAAAAAAAAAAAAAAAAAAAAAAAAAAAAAAAAAAAAAAAAAAAAAAAAAAAAAAAAAAAAAAAAAAAAAAAAAAAAAAAAAAAAAAAAAAAAAAAAAAAAAAAAAAAAAAAAAAAAAAAAAAAAAAAAAAAAAAAAAAAAAAAAAAAAAAAAAAAAAAAAAAAAAAAAAAAAAAAAAAAAAAAAAAAAAAAAAAAAAAAAAAAAAAAAAAAAAAAAAAAAAAAAAAAAAAAAAAAAAAAAAAAAAAAAAAAAAAAAAAAAAAAAAAAAAAAAAAAAAAAAAAAAAAAAAAAAAAAAAAAAAAAAAAAAAAAAAAAAAAAAAAAAAAAAAAAAAAAAAAAAAAAAAAAAAAAAAAAAAAAAAAAAAAAAAAAAAAAAAAAAAAAAAAAAAAAAAAAAAAAAAAAAAAAAAAAAAAAAAAAAAAAAAAAAAAAAAAAAAAAAAAAAAAAAAAAAAAAAAAAAAAAAAAAAAAAAAAAAAAAAAAAAAAAAAAAAAAAAAAAAAAAAAAAAAAAAAAAAAAAAAAAAAAAAAAAAAAAAAAAAAAAAAAAAAAAAAAAAAAAAAAAAAAAAAAAAAAAAAAAAAAAAAAAAAAAAAAAAAAAAAAAAAAAAAAAAAAAAAAAAAAAAAAAAAAAAAAAAAAAAAAAAAAAAAAAAAAAAAAAAAAAAAAAAAAAAAAAAAAAAAAAAAAAAAAAAAAAAAAAAAAAAAAAAAAAAAAAAAAAAAAAAAAAAAAAAAAAAAAAAAAAAAAAAAAAAAAAAAAAAAAAAAAAAAAAAAAAAAAAAAAAAAAAAAAAAAAAAAAAAAAAAAAAAAAAAAAAAAAAAAAAAAAAAAAAAAAAAAAAAAAAAAAAAAAAAAAAAAAAAAAAAAAAAAAAAAAAAAAAAAAAAAAAAAAAAAAAAAAAAAAAAAAAAAAAAAAAAAAAAAAAAAAAAAAAAAAAAAAAAAAAAAAAAAAAAAAAAAAAAAAAAAAAAAAAAAAAAAAAAAAAAAAAAAAAAAAAAAAAAAAAAAAAAAAAAAAAAAAAAAAAAAAAAAAAAAAAAAAAAAAAAAAAAAAAAAAAAAAAAAAAAAAAAAAAAAAAAAAAAAAAAAAAAAAAAAAAAAAAAAAAAAAAAAAAAAAAAAAAAAAAAAAAAAAAAAAAAAAAAAAAAAAAAAAAAAAAAAAAAAAAAAAAAAAAAAAAAAAAAAAAAAAAAAAAAAAAAAAAAAAAAAAAAAAAAAAAAAAAAAAAAAAAAAAAAAAAAAAAAAAAAAAAAAAAAAAAAAAAAAAAAAAAAAAAAAAAAAAAAAAAAAAAAAAAAAAAAAAAAAAAAAAAAAAAAAAAAAAAAAAAAAAAAAAAAAAAAAAAAAAAAAAAAAAAAAAAAAAAAAAAAAAAAAAAAAAAAAAAAAAAAAAAAAAAAAAAAAAAAAAAAAAAAAAAAAAAAATTTAAAAAAAAAAAAAAAAAAAAAAAAAAAAAAAAAAAAAAAAAAAAAAAAAAAAAAAAAAAAAAAAAAAAAAAAAAAAAAAAAAAAAAAAAAAAAAAAAAAAAAAAAAAAAAAAAAAAAAAAAAAAAAAAAAAAAAAAAAAAAAAAAAAAAAAAAAAAAAAAAAAAAAAAAAAAAAAAAAAAAAAAAAAAAAAAAAAAAAAAAAAAAAAAAAAAAAAAAAAAAAAAAAAAAAAAAAAAAAAAAAAAAAAAAAAAAAAAAAAAAAAAAAAAAAAAAAAAAAAAAAAAAAAAAAAAAAAAAAAAAAAAAAAAAAAAAAAAAAAAAAAAAAAAAAAAAAAAAAAAAAAAAAAAAAAAAAAAAAAAAAAAAAAAAAAAAAAAAAAAAAAAAAAAAAAAAAAAAAAAAAAAAAAAAAAAAAAAAAAAAAAAAAAAAAAAAAAAAAAAAAAAAAAAAAAAAAAAAAAAAAAAAAAAAAAAAAAAAAAAAAAAAAAAAAAAAAAAAAAAAAAAAAAAAAAAAAAAAAAAAAAAAAAAAAAAAAAAAAAAAAAAAAAAAAAAAAAAAAAAAAAAAAAAAAAAAAAAAAAAAAAAAAAAAAAAAAAAAAAAAAAAAAAAAAAAAAAAAAAAAAAAAAAAAAAAAAAAAAAAAAAAAAAAAAAAAATAGAAAAAAAAAAAAAAAAAAAAAAAAAAAAAAAAAAAAAAAAAAAAAAAAAAAAAAAAAAAAAAAAAAAGAAAAAAAAAAAAAAAAAAAAAAAAAAAAAAAAAAAAAAAAAAAAAAAAAAAAAAAAAAAAAAAAAAAATAGAAAAAAAAAAAAAAAAAAGAATAAAAAAAAAAGAAAATAATGAATTTTGGTCGATTCGATATTTTCATTACTATTTTAATTTGAATACTTCGAATCCATTGGGAAATTCGGCTTGAAAACAAATAAACAAGGCAAAGCAAAATGAATGTCATTACGAATGCAACAAAACAAAATTTGTAACTTAACAAAATGATCCGAAACAAAGCAGATTTTTTTGTTCTGCACATGTCTAGTGGGGTGGAAGCTCATAAACAGTCTGAGGTCTCAGCAGCAGCTGTAGTGTTCCTTGGTCCAGACCTGCAGTAGGAGACTTCAGGAAGACACCGGGGGCCCCTACTAGGCTGAGCTGGGGGGTCTATTCTCAAGCTTGACACTGAGTGGAGGTCAGTGGAGGGATTGGCAGAGAGGGGTGGAGGACACTGAATGGGGGCCAGTGGAGGGATTGGCAGAGAGGGGTGGAGGACACTGAGTGGAGGCCAGTGGAGGGATTGGCAGAGAGGGATGGAGGACACTGAATGGGGGCCAGTGGAGGGATTGGCAGAGAGGGGACACTGAGTGGAGGACACTGAATGGGGGCCAGTGGAGGGATTGGCAGAGAGGGGTGGAGGACACTGAGTGGAGGCCAGTGGAGGGATTGGCAGAGAGGGATGGAAGACACTCAATGGAGATCAGTGGAGGGATTTGCAGAGAGGGGTGGAGGACACTGAATGGGGGCCAGTGGAGGGATTGGCAGAGAGGGGTGGAGGACACTGAATGGGGGCCAGTGGAGGGATTGGCAGAGAGGGGTGGAGGACACTGAATGGGGGCCAGTGGAGGGATTGGCAGAGAGGGGTGGAGGACACTGAGTGGAGGTCAGTGGAGGGATTGGCAGAGAGGGATGGAAGACACTGAGTGGAGGCCAGTGATGGGATTAGCAGAGAGGGGTGGAGGACACTGAGGGGAGGCTAGTGGAGGGATTGGCAGAGAGGGGTGGAAGACACTGAGTGGAGGCCAGTGGAGGGATTGGCAGAAAGGGATGGAAGACACTGAGTGGAAGCCAGTGGAGGGATTGGCAGAGAGGGATGGAGGGCACTGAGGGGAGGCCAGTGGAGGGATGGAAGACACTGAGTGGAAGCCAGTGGAGGGATTGGCAGAGAGGGGTGGAGGACACTGAATGGGGGCCACTGGAGGGATTGGCAGAGAGGGGTGGAGGACACTGAGTGGAGGTCAGTGGAGGGATTGGCAGAGAGGGATGGAAGACACTGAGTGGAGGCCAGTGGAGGGATTAGCAGAGAGGGATGGAGGACACTGAGTGGAGACCAGTGGAGGGATTGGCAGAGAGGGGTGGAGGACACTGAGGGGAGGCTAGTGGAGGGATTGGCAGAGAGGGGTGGAAGACACTGAGTGGAGGCCAGTGGAGGGATTGGCAGAAAGGGATGGAAGACACTGAGTGGAAGCCAGTGGAGGGATTGGCAGAGAGGGATGGAGGGCACTGAGGGGAGGCCAGTGGAGGGATGGAAGACACTGAGTGGAAGCCAGTGGAGGGATTGGCAGAGAGGGATGGAGGACACTGAGTGGAGGTCAGTGGAGGGATTGGCAGAGAGGGGTGGAGGACACTGAGTGGAGACCAGTGGAGGGATTGGCAGAGAGGGATGGAGGACACTGAGTGGAGGCTAGTGGAGGGATTGGCAGAGAGGGGTGGAGGACACCGAGTGGAGGTCAGTGGAGGGATTGGCAGAGAGGGGTGGAGGACACTGAGTGGAGGTCAGTGGAGGGATTGGCAGAGAGGGGTGGAGGACACTGAATGGAGGTCAGTGGAGGGACTGGCAGAGAGGGATGGAGGACACTGAGTGGAGACCAGTGGAGGGATTGGCAGAGAGGGGTGGAGGACACTGAGGGGAGGCTAGTGGAGGGATTGGCAGAGAGGGGTGGAAGACACTGAGTGGAGGCCAGTGGAGGGATTGGCAGAAAGGGATGGAAGACACTGAGTGGAAGCCAGTGGAGGGATTGGCAGAGAGGGATGGAGGGCACTGAGGGGGAGGCCAGTGGAGGGATGGAAGACACTGAGTGGAAGCCAGTGGAGGGATTGGCAGAGAGGGATGGAGGACACTGAGTGGAGGTCAGTGGAGGGATTGGCAGAGAGGGGTGGAGGACACTGAGTGGAGACCAGTGGAGGGATTGGCAGAGAGGGATGGAGGACACTGAGTGGAGGCTAGTGGAGGGATTGGCAGAGAGGGGTGGAGGACACCAAGTGGAGGTCAGTGGAGGGATTGGCAGAGAGGGGTGGAGGACACTGAGTGGAGGTCAGTGGAGGGATTGGCAGAGAGGGGTGGAGGACACTGAATGGAGGTCAGTGGAGGGACTGGCAGAGAGGGATGGCAGATACAGAACAGTTAGTAAGGTGGATAAGTCTGACAGCAGCATTCACGATAGACTGAAGAGGGGATAGCCTGCGATGAGGTCGGCCAATGAGGAGGGAGTTACAATAGTCAAGGTGAGATATAATGAGGGAGGGAATAAGTTGTTTAGTGGTTTACGAGGTTAGGAACGGGCGTATCTTGGAGATGTTGCGGAGGTTGGAGATGTTGCGGAGGTTGGAGATGTTGCGGAGGTTGGAGATGTTGGAGGTTGGAGATGTTGCGGAGGTTTGAGATGTTGCGGAGGTTTGAGATGTTGCGGAGGTTGGAGATGTTGGAGGTTGGAGATGTTGGAGGTTGGAGATGTTGCGGAGGTTGGAGATGTTGAGGAGGTTGGAGATGTTGGAGGTTGGAGATGTTGCGGAGGTTGGAGATGTTGGAGGTTGGAGATGTTGGAGGTTGGAGATGTTGCGGAGGTTGGAGATGTTGGAGGTTGGAGATGTTGCGGAGGTTGGAGATGTTGGAGGTTGGAGATGTTGCGGAGGTTTGAGATGTTGTGGAGGTGAAGTCTACAAGATTTGGACAGTGATTGGATTTGGGGCTGAAAGGACAGATGGGAGTCCAGGATGACACCTAGTACCTTGGCGGGAGGGACTGATGGTTGTATTATTGATCTTGTTGGAGAAGTCGGGGGAGGGGGCATGGGACTGGAGGGAATAGTATGAGCGCCGTTTTAGAAAGATTGAGTTTGAGGAAGTGGCGTGACATCATGCCAAGAGAGCACTTAGAGAACAAGGGTCTTCCTTTGCAGCTGCTGACAGAGGACAGGATTTTCTACTTAAGACGGAACTTCACAATTACTTACGTCCAGTTCAACTATTCAAGGTCCCGCACTGATCTGTGGTTTCTTCCTGGTTTTCAGCCATCTTGATTGGCTGATGTAAATTCCACACATGCACATAAGAGTCCATTAATTCCAGCACCGAGGGTGTGCCAAGAATGTACCCTGAGCTCGCCAACAGGCGGGTAAGTTTGTTTTATTGCAGAAGAGATATAGTCATTTTTCTGGTCTGCACGTTAGTTCCACTTCATGGTTCCTTGGACACTGGGCCATTCACCTTCAGTGCGTCCCTCACGATGCTTTAGTGAGCCCGGGAGGGATAGGTGCAGCATCCAGTCCTGCTGCAGTCAGCATGTCAAAGTCTATGGCATGCTGCTGCTGGATGGACTACCATGCGTATAGGGCCCTGTCCGTTCAGGAATTAATTTTCGGAATGAGGGTCTTTTTCATTCTGGAATCTCCTGCCTGAACAGACAGGACCACAAATGCTGGTAGCCCTCAATGCAGTGCTCAGCCCCATCCAACCACATGTAGGCAGATGCAGTTATCCTTTCCACCTATGGCTGAGGGCCATTCTTACAGGGGAAGGGGAGACTTATAAAGGTACTGACCCCTTAGTGATGACATCTGATGCCTCAAGAGTGGTCTAATTGGACACAGAACTCTCTAGAGACTTTGGATTTTGGGTGAAGGTACCTTTTAAATAGGAGAGCTCACGTCATTTTTGGTACATTTATGGCAACTGAGTGGAAGGGAAACCTGCTTGAAAGGGCAGGACTTAGCATAGTAGCATAGGGTCAGGTTCCATTCCAGGTGGGATGGCTCAGGGGAAGTCTTCTTCTTCACTTCTTCACTTCATACAGTGGATACTGCAGAAACATCTGCCTATGCCAAGAAGGGACACTACCCTGATAACAGAAGCCGCCCTCCAGTCACATATACTGTAAACAATGAGATTGTACAGGGTGCAGCAACATAACTTCCTTTTTTGAAATGCGTGCCATTCAGGCTGTTAGCGGCCATAGCGGGGCAGGAGTGGTCTCAGGCGACAGGCGTAGTTCTAAAGTTTTTGAAATCAATTGTTACGTGGGTCACTACGTTCAGACAAACCGCGAGTACGACAAGACGAAGAGCTGGAGTCCCTCGACCCATCAGATCACCTGAGAACATCGAAGCAGTGAGAGCTTCAATCTTGCGATCCCCGCAGCGTTCTGCGCGCAAACATGCGTCTGCCCTTGGACTTTCGGATCGTTCAGTGAGGCGAATTCTTCACGATGATCTTCATTACCATCCGCACAAGTTGGCGATTGTGCAGGAACTGTCCGAACGCGACTTCAATTCTCGGAGGAACGCATGTGAGGCAGTACTCGAAAACGTCCCTGAGGACGCAATTGTTTTTTACAGTGATGAAGCCCATTTTCACTTGACTGGATGCGTCAACAAACAGAACATGCGCTACTGGGCCGACACCAATCCTCGAGAATTGCATCAAAGGCCTTTGCATTCATCTAAAGTCACAGTGTGGTGTGCAATTGCCTCAGCTGGGATTATTGGTCCCTGGTTCTTTGAAGAAAATGAGGTCACAGTGACAGTGAATTCAGACCGGTATGTGAACATGTTGGAGGAATTTGTTTTTCCACGACTTGATGAATTGGAAATGGGGACATTTGGTTCCAACAGGACGGAGCAACGGCTCACACTTCAAGAGCTTCAATGGCTGTTTTAAGGGAACACTTCCCGGAGCGCCTCATCTCAATAAGGGGATTTGGAGTGGCCAGCCCGCTCCCCTGATTTGGCCCCTTGCGACTTTTTTTTGTGGGTTTTTTTTTGAAATCCCGCGTTTATGTAAACCGTCAAAGACCCTACAAGACCTGAAGGCCAACATCCGTGCAGAAATTGCCAACATACCCGCTGCTATGCTGGTAAGGGTCATGAAAAAACGCCAGAAATCGGCTTATTCAGTGTATGGACAATGGGGGGGGGGGGGGGGGGCGTCACCTACCTGATATGATTTTCCAAAACTGTGAAAAACAGAACTTTAGATATGTACCTACATTATTAAAGACAATAAAAACAATTCTGATTCATAAAATGGGTTTTATTGCGTTTTGAAAAAAAGGAAGTTATGTTGCCTCACCCTGTATATTCTCTGGATTGCGTATATCAGTACTGAATATCAAATAGAATATAAATAGATAGGCGCTACATTTGCCCAAACAGAATTAGTACCACCTGAGGGCTATCTCAATTTTGGTCCATGCAAAAAAATTTAGCCTACAGCACCTGATATTCCCAGGCGGTCCCCCATCCAGGTACTAACCAGGTACTGAAGATCAGTCTATCTGTTGCTGCAAACAAGCTCTGCAATATTTATATAAAAGGCATCAGTAGACTATAAATTGTGTGCAAGTACTTCCTCCTCATACAAGGCACCTAATTCAGGCCTAGACTGCACACAGCGTGCCTTAGACCTTGACAGGTTGCCTGTGGGGCTGGATGCCTCACCTGCCCCCCCCTGGAAGCATTGAAGCACCATGAGGGACACACAACAGCTGAATGGCTCAGGGGTCTTAAGCTGTTTTTGCATTTTAAAGAAAATAAACAGTAAGATGTAAACTAAAAGATCTGTAGCACCTTCCTAGTTAGAGTAGGCTGCTAGGCCAAATTTAGTTTTAGCTCCTCAGTGGAGCAGGGGTTGATTAACTGGGGCTGCTCATCTGCTGCTCTGCTACTTTCCCCTCTATTCTAGAGATTTCTAGAACACAGGGATGGAGGGCAAAGGCTGCAGCTCAAATATTTATGGGACTTCAGCCAATCCCTGTGGAGGTGTGCCCAGAAGGTGGGGGAGAGTTAATAAATAGTCTGAAGCCAGTACAGTGAAGACAGCTTGCAGTATGTGGGTGTAGAGTTGGGTTCTTGAGTGCAGCCTGCTGGAGGAGACCCCTGTTGAGAGGACTTTCCCTCCTGGGCAAAAGCTAGGGAAGGAAGTCAGCCTGAAGCCACCAAGGTCCCAGCTAAGCTTAGCTGGGGGACCTATTTGCAAAGCAACACAAGAATCCAGAGGGTCAGGAGAGATCATGTGGGAAAAAAAAAAACAGTGGGAGGCTGGGGGAGGGAGCCCAAATTTTCCAAAAGGTGGTGTGAGTCTACATCTTCATCACTAGGAAGAGCCTGGAGGGCTATGGGCAGAAGATAACCAATGATCCTGGTGGCTGCAAGGGTGACAGTGAGATACTTGGGACTTCGAGTAAAGTACAGGTCAGGTCACAGGGAGTTGGAGATTGTGACGGAGCGGGAGTGACTTTTGGGGGTGGGGGGACCTCTGTATCATCTTCCCAAATTCTTATGTTTAAGTGACCCTGTGCCTGTTAGGGTACAGTGTGTGTATGTGAATGTCTATTGTGTATTGGTGTGTTGTCCTTTGTTCTCGGCCACATGGCTGTCTATTGTCCTTTTGCCATGTGCTGCCCCATTGTTCTGTGTCTTGGTTGGATGGGGAGGGGTGATGATGTGTTTCCTGTAGCCCTCCCCACTGATGGGGTGGGCTGATGATGTGTTTCCTGTTCCTGGTTGTGTTTCCCCACCCTGTGTATATGACTTGTTGTGTGTGTAAAATAAAGGAGTTGACTTCCTGTTTTAAGAAGAGTCGGGTGCTGTCTATTTCCTGAGAGATTTCAAGGGTGTGGTCCGTGGATTTGTGTTCGGACAGGGAAGCTGCGGTATAACGGAATATACCCAAGTGCGGTCTGGGGTCCGGTTCCGTTACAGAGATTCTATGGGAATTTGCTGGAAGGATGCAGCCAGAAGTTGCGCAATACGGCCAAGCAGTTGTGGAATACAGACGGACATTGTAGAAAGCTGTTCAAATTCATGTTGAACAGTCCCAGGGTATCCCATGCTCCCTATCCCCATTCAAGTTCACCGTTCTCCAATAAAAATACAAAACAAAACCCCTAGACTGATTCCTGAGTAAGAGGAAGAATGCTGGGAGTCTGGCTGTGTATGCTGTGAATATGGAGAGGTAGGCTCAAATGATCAGCAGCTTCTTTGGGGTGGTGCCACAGATTTTTTTTTAGATCTGAATAGGGCTAATTCAACAGCTTGTTTAGGCCATATACATCACTAAACCTTCCTGCATTGAAGAGTGCCAAATGCCCCAGAGCTTGCAGCTGCAGCAGGCATAGTGTAATACTTGGCACTGCTGGGACATAGGGCCATACGCATATCAATGTAACATGGTAACTGGTGGAAGAGGCCATAGAGGCCATTTCCCTGAGGAAGTCGTTCCAGAAAAGCAGCAATTACATGTCATTTTTTTCTTGTATCGGAGAG